TATAGTTATGTTCTCCTGGTGTATTGACCCTTTAATCATTATATAGTGTCCTTCCTTATCCTTTGTTGTGGATTTTACTTTAAAGTCTATTTTGTCAGAGATTAATGTTGCCAATCTTGCTTTTTTGAGTGTTGTTTGCTTGATATATTTTTTTCCATCCTTTGAGTTTTAGTTTGTGTCTTAAGTCTAAGGTGTGTCTCTTGTAGGCAGCATATAGATAGATCTTTTTTTTTAATCCACTCTGCCACTGTCTGTCTCTTTATTGGTGCATTTAGTCCATTTATGTTCAGTGTAATTATTGATAGGTATGAGTTTAGTGCTGTCATTTTGATGTCTTTTTTTTGTGTGTTGTTCACAGTTTCTTTTTTCCACTTAATTTTCTGTACTGAGTCATTTTTCTTAATGTATTTTCTTTTCATCTTTTTCATTGTTGTTGATTTTGTGTTTTTTGAGTCTTTATGTTTTTCTAGTTTTTTATTTTGACTTGTAAGATTGTTAATTTCCTTTGTGGTTACCTTAATATTTACTCCTATTTTTCTAAGTTTATACCAGTGTTTTATTTCTTTATATTGCCTTGACTTCCTCTCCATATGGAAAATCTATGTCTACATTTTTTAAGTCCCTTTTTTTCATTTTAATGTTGTCTTTTACATATTGACATCTGTTTCCCTATTTTCAGTGTTTTAGCTTTGGTTTATTTTTGTGACTTCCCTATCTGGGTTGATATCTGGTTGCTCTATCCTGTATTCTAATCTTACGTTGCTATCTGATGTTACTGATTTTCTAACTGGAGGACTCCCTTTAGTATTTCTTGTAATTTTGGTTTGGTTTTTGCAAATTCCCTAAACTTCCGTTTATCTGGAAATGCCCTAAGTTCGCCATCATATATGAGAGACAGTTTTGCTGAATATATAATTCTTCACTGGCCATTTTTTTCTTCGAGGCTTTATATATGTCATCCCTTTGCCTTCTTGCCTGCATAGTTTCTGCTGAGTAGTCTGAGGTTATTCTTATTGATTCTCCTTTGTAGATGACTTTTCATTTATCCCTAGCTACTCTTAAAATTCTCTATCTTTGGTTTTGACAAGTTTGATTATAGTATGTTTTGGTGACTTTCTTTTGGGTTCTACCTTACGTGGGGTTTGATGAACATCTTGGATAGATACCTTCTCATCTTTCACGATATCAGGGAAGTTTTCTGCCAACAAATTTTCAACAATCCTCTCTGTATTTTCTGTTACCTTCCCCTTTTCTGGTACTCCAATCACTCGTTGGTTATTCCTCTTGATAGAATCCCACATAATTCTTATGGTTTCTTCATTTTTTTTAAATCCTTTTATCTGATTTTTTCTCAAGTAAGTAGGTGCCAAGTGCTTTATCTTCACTCTCACTAATTCTGACTTCCATTGCCTCAGTTCTGCTCTTATGACTTTCTATTGAGCTAATTGTGAAATTTTATTGTTAATCTTCTGGATTTCTGATTGCTGTCTCTCTATGGATTCTTGCAGCCTGTTAAATTTGTCATTATGCTTTTCTCTAATCTTTTTAATTTCCTCTGTTGTGTGTTCTGTGTTTTGCTTAATTGCCTTCCTAATCTCTTGCGGAGTTCTGTATATTAATCTTTCGTATCCTGCCTCTGGTAATTCCAAGAAATTTTCCTCCTCTGGGAAATTTCTAGGTTTTTTAGTTTGAGAGATTGCTGAAACCATCATGGAATGCCTCTTTATGTGATTTAATACCAACTGTTGTCTTTGAGACATCGATAAGTTATTATATTGATTTATTTTATGTTTGCTTACTGTGTCCTAGCTTCTTGTTTTGTTTTGATATGCCCAAATGGTCTGCTTGAATGAGCTAGTTTGATTATTGGCACCTTTGAAGCTGTAATGTCCTGTAACGAAGTGGTTATATCTATTAGTAGGTATGTGAGCTCAGGAGTCCACCCACTCCTCCTGTGTGGATTTAGCTTGGGTGCCCAGGTAGATAACCATCAAGTGTGTGGTGCAGGCTGTCACCTACAGTCCTAGACAGACATGAGTGATTGGTGTAGGCACAGGCATCTGGCTTCAGCAGGGGGACACTGAGCAAGGCAGGAGCCTAACGGCTGCCCCTGAGTTTCCAGGAGGAAGGTGTGTCCCTGTTCCCTAGAGTGCGTGGTTGGGTGGGTTTTGCAGCCGAACCATGAGCACTGAATGCTGTTAGGTATAAGGACTTGGGGACACCTCTTATTCTTGGGCCCCTATCGCAGGTGGCTAGGTAGTGTGAGTGGAGCCACAAGTCCTCAGGCCCCTGATGTGGGTAGATGAAGTCCCTGCTTAATGGGCAGAACAGTGTCAAATGTTACAAACCTACCTCTTCACAGCTGAAATAGTTGAAGTTAGACTTTAGGTATATACCCTGTTGTACTGTGGTAATGAGGGTGTACACTGTTGAAATGGGCCCACACAAGCCTATGCAGGGGGAAAGGCACTCAAAGTCCATGGATCCCTTACGTCTGTGCCTAAGCAAAGGAACTTTGCCTTCCCTGGGTTCCTGGCTTAGGGGAGCCGGCAGTTTATTTTTTCCCCTTTTCACTCTCCAAGGCCAGGAGAATGGCTCAGGGTATGTGACGGGTCCTGCTTTCAGCCCAGGGGACTCAGCAATTGCTGAAGCCCGTCCAGGACCCAGTGCAGAGCAGGGAGTTGGGAGGTAAATGGGAGAGAGGTTTTTCCCTAAGGCGGGTGTGTTTGATCTGCGTGGTAGGCCGGACGCAAGTACTTCATCTTTTGCCAATCAAGGGCTGCTTCTCACCGGTTCAGGGTCAACAAGTAGACTCTCTGCTGCTGGGTCTCTCCCGGTGTGGAATACGCCTCCCGAGCACTGCTGCTTGCCCACCTCACCACTCACCCATGAGTTGATCAAGCCTAAAGGGCTCAGGCTCTCACTGGTTCAGGTCTGGCAACTCCTCAGTGTTTCCAAACTGTCTCTCCTTCCCCCTGCCACTCAGTCCAGTTCCTCAACTTTGCCTTTGATGTTCAGGGCTCCTAGATTGTCATATGTTATTGATTCACTTGTTTTTGGGGTGTTTTTTGTAAGAGAGTCCACCAGAAGTGTCTTAACTGCTCTGCAATCTTGGCCTGCCTTCCAGCAGTTTTCTTTTTAAAATTATATTAAGGTCATCTTTCTTTGTCAGTATATACAGAACTACCTCCTTTAACAGCTAGTCAGCGTTGCATGGTAGAGTGTGAATGTACTTTCAAGTAATTTAAAAATTTTCAGTACTACAAATGCCACTGCAGTAAATGTCTTTACACTCATGTCTTCATGCTTTTGTGTAAGTCTTACATGTGGAAGTGGAATTGTGGGGTCAAAGGTACACTGCTCATTAAAAACCTCTTTTTAGTTGTATTTTAGATGAAGGTTTACAGAACAAAGTGACTTCTCATTAAACAGTACACATATTGTTTTGTGACATTTGTTGCCAACCCCACAACATGGCAATGCCCTCCTTTCTCGACCTTGGGTTCCCTATTACCAGCTTTCCTGTCCCCTCCTGCCTTCTCATGCTTGCCCATGGGCTGGTGTGCTCCTTTATTTAGTCTCATTTTGTTTTATGGGCCTGTCTAATATTTGGCTGAAGGGTGAACCTTAGGCGTGACTTCATAACTGAGCTATAGAGGTATTCAGGGGCCATACTCTCGGGGTTTCTCCAATCTCTGTCAAGCCAGTAAGTCTGGTCTTTTTTTGTGAGTTAGAATTTTGTTCTACATTTTTCTCTGGCTCTGTGCGGGACCCTATTTTGTGAGCCCTGTCAGAGCATGGTACATAAACACAATGGAGTACTACGGAACGATAAAGAACAATGATGAATCTGTGAAGCATCTCATAAAAACCATTTTAAAACAAAATGAATTTTAAATTGAGGTGTAATTAACACATGATAATCTATACATATTTAAAGTGTTCAATTTGCTAAATTTTGACATTTGTCTATACACATGACACCATCACTACAATCAAGATAATGAAGTTACCTATCACCCTCAAAAGTTTCTTCATTTACTTTTTTAATTATTTCTTCTGCCGCCTTAATTTGATAGATACCATCAAATTGCTCCCCCAAAAAGCCCATACCTATTTATGTCCTAACAACCTATGAGACAACAACCTCATCGATGATGGGATTTTCAGATTTTAAAGCGTTTACCAATGTGATAGTCACAAAGAGAAATTCATGAATTTTACGAGTACATCTTTTGAGAATCTTAAGGTGAGGTTTCCTGGGAAGTCTTCGCAAGAGAAGCCGTATTTGCTGCCCTGTGATTTGATCTACCTGTAAAGCTAGTCCTGGGAATGTCAGGGCTGGGTGCTCCCATGAGAGAGGACCATGCCTTGTACACCATAGGTGCTCAATAAATGTTTATTGACTTAATTGTGCTTTAGCAGGCAGGTCTCTCGCTGGAGGTAGAGAGGTGCAGACCCCAGTGTTAAGGTCCCGGGCACCAGGACATTCCTCTCATGCCTACAGGAACAGGTCAGATTCCTGAGCACGGATGCTGCAGTAGGCCCCACACATGGATTTTATCTTGGGTGGAGATGACACCTGCGGAAACTCCACATGTTCCAACTGTAGGTGGGACAGGTTGAAGAGAGACCCCCACCCCTAGCAGAGCCACTAGGGCTGAGGAGATTTCCCTCCTAATAGGGCAAAAATATGGGAATTTGTGGAAGCTGGAGTGACCCCAGAGTCTGCAGAGGAAGTTAAATCACCAAGCTCATAGTAGGTAATCAGTACGCTATTGGAAGGAGGGAATGAAGAAGAGTCTGGGTTAGGGGGCTATCTGAAAAGGTGAAAAGAGAGGAAAAAGCCTCCCAGGGGAGGGCATGTGTGGCAGTGGTAAACCAGGACCAGTGTCACCAGCTGAGTACAATGCACCCCCTTATACCATCTTCATAACTAGAATGCTGGTCTTCCTTGGTGAGCCAGGCCCAGTTCTCACCACTTCTTTCTTCTTCCCCAGCACTGCCTTCTGAGGGCTCTGCCCTTCCTTGGGAAGAGAAGGAAATGCCCAAATTACAGGTGAGTTGGAGTCCACATTCCTTGGAAATACCACCTCACACCCCTTAATTTTAGGATGAGGGAAGGAGATCAACATGGGGCACATAGTGTGCCAGTCCTGGGCCAGATATGTTACTCTAATTTCTCTAAATAGAGAAACTGTGAGCATCGCAGGTAGGAATGTAAAATGATACTAGTTTGGAAAACAGTTTCACAATTTCTTATAAAATTAAACACATACTATTGACCCGGAAATCCCCCTGCTAGATATTCACCCAGAAAAGATAAAGCATATGTCAACACAAAAACCTGTATGTTACTATTCATAGCAACTTTATTCACGATAGCACCAAACGAGAAACAACCCAGATGTTCAAGTGGTGAATGGATAAGCAAAATGTGATATATCCACATAATAGAAAAAGAACAAACTGCTGATACAACAACAGAGATGAATCTCAAGAACATTATGCTGAGTAAAAAAAGCCAGACACAAAAGAGTACATGCTATATGGTTCCATTTATATGAAATTCTAGAATAGGTGAAATTAATCTATTGAAAGCAGAGCAGTGGTTATTGGGTCAAGGGGCAGGGGCAGGGATCAACAGGGAGCAGCACAACAGAACGGTCTTAATTACCTACTGCTGCTGTAACAAAAATACCACAAGTGGGTGGCTTTAACAAATTTATTCTCATGGTTTAGGAGGCTAGAAGTCCGAATTCAGGGTGCCAGCTCCAGGGGAACACTTTCTTTCTCTGTCAGCTTTGGGGGAAGGTCCTTGTCATCAATCTTCCCCTGGTCTAGAAGCTTCTCAGTGCTGGGACCCTGGGTCCAATTGGGATGCACTGCACTCCTGGCTCTTCTTTCTTGGTAGTAGGAGGTCCCCGTCTCTCTGCTCACTCCCTCTCTCCTTTTAGCTCTTGTAAGATAAAAGGTGATGCAGACCACACTCCAGGAAAACCCCCCTTACATTGGACAAGGGCTGTGACATGAGTAAGGGTGTTGCATCCCTCCTTAATCCTCTTTAACATAACCTAATCTTGCCTCGTTAACCACAAGCAGAGATTAGGATTTATAAGATGTAGGACAATTACATCGGATCACAAAATGGAGGATAACCACACAATACTGGTAATCATGGCCTAGCCAACTGGACAACATATATTTGGGGGGACGCAACTCAATCCATGACAGGAACTTTCTTTGGTAATGGAAATGTTCTATATCTTGATTGGTATGTGAGTTACATGGAGGTATACATTTGTCAGAACTCATCAACTAGTATACTTAAGATTTATGCATTCGCTATGTCTAAATTATACCTAAATTAGAAAAATCTGTAAGCAGAAACAACAACATAAAAATAATCTCTCTACCATGCACAAAAACTAACTCAAAATGGATCAAAAACCTAAATATAAAATCTAAAACAATAAAGATCATGGGAGAAAAAATAGGGACAACACTAGGAACCCTAATACATGGCATAAACAGAATACAAAACATTACTAACCATGCACAAATACCAGAAGAGAAACTAGATAACTGAGAGCTCCTAAAAATCAAACACTTATGCTCATCAAAACACTTCACCAAAAGAGTAAAAAGACAACCTACAGACTAGGAAAAAAATTTTGGCTACGACAAATCCTATCAGTGTCTTATCTCTAAAATCTGTAAGATACTGCAAAACCTCAACAACAAAAAGATAAATACCCGAATTAAAAAATGGGCAAAGAATATGAACAGGCACTTCACCAAAGAAGACATTCAGGCAGCTACCAGATACATGAGGAAATGCTCACTATCATTAGCCATTAGAGAAATGCAAATCAAAACTACAATGAGATACCATCTCACCCCAACAAGGCTAGCATTAATCCAAAAAACACAAAAATATAAATGCTGGAGAGGTTGTGGAGAGACTGAAACACTTATACACTGCTGTTGGGAATGTAAAATGGTACAACCACCTTGGAAATTGAGTTGGCGCTTCCTTAAAAGCTAGAAATAGAAGTACCATACGATCCAGCAATCTTACTCCTTGGAATATATCCTAGAGAAATAAGAGCCATCACACGAATAGATATATGCACACCCATGTTCATTGCAGCACTGTTCACAATAGCAAAAAGATGGAAACAACCTAGGTACCCATCAATGGATGAATAAACAAATTATGATATATTCACGCAATGTAATACTGCGCAATGATGATGAACGATGAATCTATGAAACATCGCATAACATGGATGAATCTGGAAGGCATTAGGCTGAGTGAAATTAGTCATAAAAGGACAAATATGGTATGAAACCACTATTATAAGAACTCAAGAAAAGGTTTAAACACAGAAGAAAACGTTCTTTGATGGTTATGAGGGGAGGGAGGGAGGGAGAGGGGTATTCTCTAACTAGATAGTAGATAAGAATTATCTTAGGTGAAGGGAAGGACAGCACACACTACAGGGGATGTCAGCACAACTGGACTAAACCAAAAGCTAAGAAGTTTCCTGAATACAACCAAACATTTCAAGGGACAGAATAGCAGGGGCGAGGGTCTGGGGACTATGGTTTCAGGGGACATCTAGGTCAACTGGCATAACAAAGTTTATTAAGAAAATGTTCTGTGTCCCATTTTGGTGAGTGGCGTCTGGGATCTTAAAAACTAGCGAGCGGCCATCCACCTGGAGCAAAGAAGAATGAAGAACACCAAGGACACAAGGAAAATATTAGCCCAAGAGACAGAAAGGGCCACATAAACTAGAGACTCCATCAGCCTGAGACCAGAAGAACTAGATGGTGCCTGGCTACCACCAATGACCGCCCTGACAGGGAACACAACGGAGTCCCTGACGGAGCAGGAGAAAAGTGGGGTGCAGAACTCAAATTCTAGTAAAAAGACCAGACTTAATGGTCTGACTGAGACTGGAGGGACCCCAGAAGACATGGCCCCCAGAGTCTCTGTTAGCCCAGAACTGAAACCATTCCCGAAGCCAACTCTTCAGACAAAGATTAGATTTGAGTATAAGACATAAAATGATACTCATGAAGACAGTGCTTCTTACCTCAAGTAGATACATGAGACTAAATGGGCAGCTCTTCTCCGGAGGGGAGGGGAGTAGGCAAAAAGGACAGGTGCTGGCTTAATGGACACGGGAAGTCCAGGGTGGAAAGGAGGGTGTGTTGTCATAGTATAGGGAGAGCAACTAGGGTCACATAACAATGTGTGTATAAATTTTTGTGTGAGAAGCTATCTTGAACTGTAAACTTTCACTTAAAGCACAAAATAATATCTCTCCCCTAGAGGGAAAAAAATCTGTACAATGTTGGAGACATTCCTATTTGAGAGGAGAAGAAAGAGGACCATAGAAGGTTTTGTCATCTGATAAGACAGGAGAAAGACAGAGAGAGAAAGCCTTCCCCTGGAGCTGGCATCCAGAATGCCGATTTCTAGCCTCCTAAACTGTGACAGAATAAATTTCTTAAGTAGTATAGCCAGGATTTGAACTCAGGTTTATCTTACACTGTGGCCCTTTCCAGGGCTTCAAACTGGTTGTGCCTGGCTCGGTCATGGCCAACAAAGCGAAACCGGAACAGACCCCAATTTTTTAAATCTAGGTGAACCAGAATGGGAAAAAGTACAGGTCAAAGCCCTGCTAAAAACCTAATCTCCCTCTTAAAAAGCAAGGGCAGTGTACTTGCTGCATAGCAACCAAATCTCTTGTCTGTCGGATTTTGAGCAGAGTGGGAAACAGCGGTGCCCCACTCAAAGATGGTGGCTCACTGCACTGCTTTGAATGTGTGTCACTCTCCACAGTCGTGCCAATAATCCAGTCTCCTGCCTCAGGCTCTCAGAAGGGACACATTCTGAGCCGCCCATTCCAGGACTTTGACCTAAAATTTTCTGTTCCAGTTATCATTCCGGTTCACCTAAATTTTTAAAATTCACGTCTGTTCTGGTTTCACTTTGTCGGCCATAACCGAACCAGTTTGAACTGGTTCGAAGCCCTGCCTTTTTCTCTGTTTATTTCTGGGTTCTGGAGTATTCCTGCCCAAAAGAGCACCGAGCAGCTGCTTGAGGCCAGATTATCGAGAAGAGGGCTGGGCCTGCACTTTAGAGGAAAAATCCTAAGAGAATGGCATCTCTGCAAGGCACTCTCCATTGATGTCCTTTCTTTGTTGAGAAATTTATTTTGTAATGATGGCCGTTCCTGGCTACTCTTTGAGCACTACTCTACCAGGTATTGTGAGCTGGTGGGATCCTTGACCCCAAGGACCTGACTATCTTTTTATTTACTTACTTATAAATAAATAAACAGGAACAAGGTCTGAATTGGGGGACACAGTTCGATCCATAGAAGCTTCCTTTCCTTATTCCTCTATGCTGTAAAACTCTCTGCAGCTTCAGAATGGTAGGTTCTTTGTCTTGCCAAACATGTGATTTGTTTTAATTGCTCATTTTTACATTATTGTCTAGATGAGTAGATGAAGGTTATCTTTTGGGGTCCTAGGACTGGGGTTCATTTATAAGCCATGGAGATAGTAATTGGAGCCCACGTTATCGAATGAAGTTGATTAGTGCCAAGCAGAGAGAGGGTGATTTGCTTAGGGGGTTCTTTTGGATGACGGCCATTCCACGTGCACACTTGAATGTTACCCCTGGGAGTGGGAGTGACGAGGAAAAGTGTGGCTGCGGAGACCCTAGATTGTCCTTCCCTTCTGACATGTAGAAGGGACACATGGCAGGAGTCTTCATTTTATTCTTCATCAGCATTCACCCTTTTGCCTTCTCCACATGTCACCCTTGACCTCGCTCTCCAGGTGACTGTGTTCACGTTCTCCTAAAAAAACAAACAAACAAACCCAAACCCGTTGCCATCAAGTTGATTCTGACTCATAATGACCCTATGGGACAGAGTAGAACTTACCCCGTAGAGTTTCCAAGGAGCAGCTGGTGGATTCACATTCTCCTAGCACCTTATAATAAGATTTCAGTATTTAATGTTGGCATCAACGTGT